ATGCAAAGGCTCTGAGGCAAGAGTGTGTTTCGGGTGTTGGAGGGCGAGGAGAGGAGGGAGGAGAGGAGAGAGGTCAGAAAGTTAGCCTCAGGCAGGTGCAGGGCAGCCCATCTAATGTAAGGGAGTGAGGGAGGTGGAATATCAGGTAATGCCAGCTGGTAGATTTGGTGGTGGAAGAACAAGGAAGTTCTCTCCTGAATGTTTCCATTATCTCAGTGTAACAAAAAGAAAAGTGATAACTGAGAGTGAGGAGGGGGGTGGTGTCAAAATTAAGTTCAGAAAGGGAAGAGAATGAATGCACTGGGTTATTTAGTGGAGTTGTTTGGCAGCCTCCAGGAACCACTTGAAGTCTGTGATGTTTTTCTCCAGTCACATTAAGCCATTCAAGTATCAGTGCAAAGTATGTGGGAAAGTTAGTTTTAACCAGGGATTGGGGTTTTGCCAAATGAGTAGGACAATGGGAAAGAGGGACAAAAGAGTTGAGGATGTATGCAAGGGACTGATTATACGAAGACCATGCAATCTAAACTGGGAAAGCAAGAAGGGGAGTGATAGACTGGAAGGATAGTGGGATCAAAGTATTGTTGCAGGCAGTGCTATAGGGAGTGAGCTGGAAAATAAGAAGTGGTGTCTGAAGAGTTTGCAGTTATTGGTTATGACAAAGTCTAATATATGACTCTAGGACTGGGTGGCTGAAGTGGGTGAAGGACAAGATTATTAGAGAAGTTCAAGAAAACAATAGGCCAGGGTATTGGGTGGATCCTTTCTGTGAATAATGAAATCACCAAGAGGGATGACAAGAAAAATAGTGGAGAGAAATATTGAGGTAGATGTTAGCAGGAATGAAGGGGAAGTTGGTAGATGACTACAAAAGCAGAGGCAGCAGGTGGTATTTCAAAAGAGCTGTGGAATTTTAGAAGGAAGGGGAAATACTGATCTGGAATTGGCAAAGATGAGCAAAAGTTCACCATGATCAGTGGTTTTGGGGTATACGATTGATCAAATTAGGATTTGAACTGGTTCTATCAGATTTCAGATCATTTCCATTATACCACTCAGAGTTTGGAATTATATAGTTCTTGGACCTAGATTTCAACATTCTCTTGACATCCCTGCAGTGTATATTATTTGGCTGTCCTCAAAGTTGTATTGCTTTAAAACAGTTGCCAGGATCTATTTGAAAAGCTGGATTCTAATTAAAATTTTGAAAGTTCATACAGTGCAATTGGTTAATATGTTGAAGAAACTGGATCCTCTGACCTGTAGCTTCCCATAGTCTGGATTTTGTGATCACATTCCCATGGTGCTATCTAACATGTTCCTCTGTTCTCTGTAATTCCTGGAAATTGGTAATCAGATCTTGATCAGACTCAGGTTTCATTTTTGGTAAGAATACATCATAGGTGCAGTTGTGTACTGGATCAGAGGCCGTGTAGTGTCAGGTTGTCTCTTTCTCCCTTTGTGATGTTAATAGTCATTGGTGACTTTTGCCTAGGTCCATTCGTAGAGCCATTATTTCTTTAAGGTAAAAAATGTTGATATTGCATCAAATCTTGTTATTAGAATGACAACTCTGCAAAAGAGCAAATTCCCTTCAACTATGGGTTATCCTGAGGCACAAGTCATTTAGGAAAGACAGGCTATACCAGTTCACTTTTCAAGGGGCTTATCTGAGGGCTCCTGTGGTTTTAAGGATGCATATATTTTGCCTTTAAAGTATTTAATTGTAGCTTGTCCTACTTTTCAAATTAGATGACATTTACAGGATGCAGTTTCACATTGTGGCTTAATATTTACAGTTAAATGGGAATACATTATAGGATTTAGTTCTAACACCCCTGAAGAGGACTGCACAGAGAAGTATTCCAAATGTTGAACAAGCAGCTTTCCAATGTTCAGCTGCATTTCACAAAAGCTCATAAAATATTAAAATCTTTTCTGAAAGGTAACCAACTAAATAATTTATGAAAACAAAGGTTCAAGTCAGTGCAAGTAGAAAATGTCTGTTCTCTTTTTCTATACAAGGAAATATCCCAGGGCTGTAGTGGTTTTGGAATCAGATAGATGGGGTCTGAATTCCCCTTCACTTATTATGGTGACCTTGAGCAAGCTACTCTGCATATCCCAAATATGTAATAAGAGAAGCTGAAATAGTGAATATTCTAAAACATTATAGATTTCTAAATATTAGAAAATACATATGTACTTAGCCAAAGCCTCCTATTTATTACTTTGGTTGGAGGTGTGGGATGAGGTAAAAAATATTACCAATTGCCAGACACTGTTAGTTACGAGAAAACTAACAGAAAAAATTGCTCTATTGAGGACATGCCTTCTTTGATTCCCAGGGCAGTGGTGATGTGGTCAGCTTTAGGCTGAAGCACTTTTTATTCAATTATTTATGGAACTGCATGGCAGACCATGTAGGTCTACACCAGAGGATCCCCATAAGGCAGTTTAGAGAGAGAGAACTGGGCAAATGCCAAGTTAAACTTGCCTTTGGTTCCACTAAGAACCAAGAATGGAAGACTGAGTAGCAGTGAGAAATGCACCCTACATTGCCTAGAAAATAACCATAAGATACCTAGATATTTCCCTTCTACTGCTGTTAGACTTAGCCCTCTGCCTCAACCTGCCCTGCCTTTCCTGCCTTTTCCTAGATTCAGTATGACCCCATCTCTAGTTTACCTCCCTGCTTACTAGAGCCCTGTTATCCCATAGTTATTTTATCTTTTGTGATAGTGCCGACACATAGTTGTTGATTCATGGGGCATCAGAATGATTTCCAAGTCACTGAGAAGCAAGTACAAACACTGGAAAATATATCCCTACCTCCTAGTTTTCATAGGAATCTGTTGATTAGAAACATATGAAAATTGAGGTAACTGTGGGAATAGGGTAGAAATTGTTAAAACACAAAAAGGATTTTACACAATATAGCTTATGTTCATATCTTGTCACTGTCTTAATTATATGCATATGTCAGTTTTGAGGGCACTGTCTTCTTAGAATTACATTTTTATAAACTTATTGAAGTGTTATGCACATACAGAAAAGTGGGATTTGCATTTCTAAAGTCATTAAATAGTGTCACATAGCTATGACTGCCTACATTGCTGTTGTGACCCAAAATACTTCTTAAAAATTGGGAATTTATGCGTTAGAACATTCTCAACTTTAAAGCAACTTTAAGTTCAGTTGTGCCGTACAGCACCAGACTTAGTTCTGAATAATTCTTAGAACATTGCATAATATTTTATACTGGCCAATGTTCTATAGTTCCTGAACTCAACAGGATGACAAGTTGAATTAAGGATGAAGTTCAACCAAGACCTACCACCTTACATTTTTCTATTCATTTTAACATAGATATGCAACTTATGGTATTCTTAACAACTCTGTTAACTACAAAGAATAAAAAGATTTTGCAAACAAGAGTTGGAATGGAAACAATTTCTGAGATAGAGATCAAATTGTGTTTATAGACACCATTGGCAGCTTTATCATCAGCCATTTCCTGTGGGAATATTTCACTGGGACATAATTTTATGCCTTGACTATTCATTAAATAGCTTTGGTTCCACAGAATAAAAATAGTGTAGAACTATAAATAGTAATGTATGCAAATTGTAGTGTAACATTTCACTGTATTTTCCTAGATGAGAATTAAGATTATTTAACAAAGTATGTTCTTACACATCACTGAAAGAATTTTAAAACAACACTAATAGAGTATGGTCTAGTGGAGAGTCAGGCAATAGACTGGAAATTAAAGTCATTTGCTTCCTTCAAATTAAAGTTGACATTAGTTTTAAAATATTTATTCGTCATGTACAGTGTATAAGATGTTATACTCTATGAAGAATATAAAAGTCAAGTATAAATAGTCTCTGCCCTCAAGGAGTTTATGAATTTTCTTGTATGGGAGATAGGGTGCACCTTGTAAAAAACAAAAAATAATAAACATACTTTGAGTGGGTATGAATAAAGTACTATTGGAGTTTGGAGGAAGAGATTGTGCCCATGTGGAAGATCAGAGACGACTTCATGAAGAAGGCAGCTGAATGGAATCTTAGAGGATGGGTAAGATTTCTGCAAATAGAGATGCAGGTAAAATTATTCCAGGATGCAGAGCCTAGGTACTAATAAAGGAAGTATAGGTCAAAGCACATTTAGAGGCTGGAGCCTTTGACTGATAGGAAAAAAAAAAAAAAAAAGGAACTTACATAGATATATATCGTTGAAAATTGGGTCAGTTAAATTCACTCATGCAAGCATTTGTTTATTCAACAAATATTTCTTGAGTACTTACTAGGTGCAAGTACTGTGCTAGGAGTTAGTACACTTATGAGGTACTCGGACAAAGGCCCCTTCTAATACGTAAGCGCTAAAAAGTTTAACTCTGAAATCAGATTGATTCTTATCAACCACAAACAGGTCCACTGCTCTGTGGCAACACAAGGTATTTTACAAATGTTACACAGAACATGGAATTTAATGCTTTTGAGAGAGAGTTGGTATTTCCAAATAACATTGTTTCTCAATTTCAACCCAATTGTTTTTCAACCCAGTTTTAATTAAAACAAAGTGTTAGGTGATGGGGGAGGCTATATTTGCGCCTCCGTTTTACAAGTTTTGGTTTATGCTACAATTAATTTTGTGTTAGCATGCATTAACAGGAAGGAAGGAAGGGAGGGAGGGAGGAAGGAAGGAAGGAAGGAAGAAAGAAAAATAGACTTTAAAAAGAGACACCAGTGGTGATTTTTTTGGGCAAAAGGGTTCTTCCTAATTGAAAAGGAATCTCTGAAAATTTCCTTTAAATGGGCAGCTCCCTGTACAAATTAAAATGATTCGGAACGTTTCTAGAACACACTTCACTAAGTGAGATACACCTGTACTCATACCTTATCCGTCAAAACAATCTTTGTTTTCTCTCAAGCTAGGACTTGCACTATAGGACACGCCTCGTGCAGTGGTGGCAATGCGGAGGGTGGTGAAGGTGACTGAGTGGCAGCCAGGAGGGCACGTTCCCTTTCTCCGTCTCCCCAACCAGAACTTTGCAGCCTCCAGCGCAGACTCACCTTCCCGCTCCTTCTTTTTCCCGCCTTGACTCTTACTGCAACCCCCCACCCCCCTCGGTACGCTCTCTCTGCATCCCTCGGTCTTCCTTAGCTCTCACCCACCTCCCTTCTCCGCCCTCCGCCTTGCCTCGCCCGACGCCCGCAGAGTAGCAGCCGGCAGCCCGTGCGCCCCGTTGCGGCCCGGGGCTCCGAGGCATGCGCTCTGCGGCGCCGCCGCCCTCCCCCACCCGTCCCGCGGCAGAGTTATGCCAAGAATGTGAGGAGCCCGCGAGGGCCAGTGTCGGTCATGGGGAGCCGCCGCCGCCGCCGCCGCCGCCGCCGCCGCCGCGAGCGCGGCTTCCTCCCGAGCGGGACTCCGAGCTGTCCCCGCACCAGGGGCGAGCCTGGCTGCTGAGGCGGAGGGGGATGACGGACCCTTTGAGGAGGACGCTGTCCAGGCTCCGGGGGAGGCGGGGTCCTCGTGCCGCCGGGGGGCCCGGGCGCTGGGTGGCCACAGCAGCCACCGTGGCGGCCTTTTCGGCTGCCGAGGGAGATGCCGGGGGTGCTCCGGGCGGGCCCCTACGCGAGCGCGCCGGCGGAACCCGGCCGAGCCTGGAGCGACCGCCGCCGTCGCCTCAGGCGTGGGGTCCTAAGGCGCGGGTCCCGGGAGGGCGGCCGGAGAGGTCGGGGGCGCTCGGGCCTCGGCCGCGCGGCGGGAAGGAGGCCGCACCCTCGGGCCGCGGGCTCACTCGCGCCTCTCTGCACGCTCCGCCGGGCTCCGAGGGCAGCGTAGAGGACGAGGAGGACGACGCCGACTACTACGAGAACCTGCCCGGCGGCTCCCAGCCCGCGCCGGAGCCTGAGGGGGCGGAGGCGGAGCGGTGGCCCCCGCCTCCCCCGGCCGCTGGCTCCTCCCCAGGGGCGGAGGGCGGCCGTCTGGAGACAGGCAGGCTGCAGACCCAGTTGCGAGAGGCCTATTATCTGCTGATCCAGGCCATGCACGACCTGCCCCCTGACTCGGGCAGGCGGCAGGGCGACCGGGGCAGGGCGGATCGCGGCTGCCCTGCGGGAGCCCGGGCTCCGGGCCAGCCGCCTTCCCCCTGCGGCGCGGCGGCCCGCCGAGCCTGCCCCCGAGACTGCGAGCGGGGAGGCGGCGACTGCCCTTGGCAGCAGGTGTCCCCGCCCCGGTCGCCTCCGAGGGAGTCGGGGGGAGGCCGCCCGCGGACTCCTCGGATGCGGCTGCCCTGCAGCAGAAGCCTCGACAGCCTCCGCGTGGGTGCCAAGCCGCCTCCCTTACAGCGGTGGTGGAGCGACAGCTGGATCAGGTGCGGCGCGCGCGGGGAACCGGACGAGCCCCCGCCACGTGGAGGCGGGATGGACGGCTGGAGCGGAGGCAGCTCCCGGGCCGCGGCGCCCTCCGGCCTCCGGCCTCCCAGCTCCGAGGACCCCCGCCGCTCCTCGGGAAGCCGCAGCAAAGAAGACGGCCAGGAGGGGCTCCCCTTCCTCAAACCGCCCGCGGTGACAGTCAAGAAGCTGCAGAAGTGGATGTACAAAGGACGCCTGCTGTCTCTGGGAATGAAGGGTCGCGCTCGTAGGACACCCCCCGAAGTCACCCGAGCGCAGGCAACGTCTCCAAATCTGGGCGCTTTGAAAATGCGGGAAAGCCAAGTCGTCTCGGTGCCGCCAGACCAAAGGATTACGCTGACAGGTAGGATACCTTGCAATCAAAATGTGTTTACAGACCGGGCTTCTGTCTTAAGAGCGAAGAAGAAGGTATGGTTTTGCAGACTACGGTACGTGTCGGTGCCAAAGTGAGGGTCACGTCAGTGGCAGCCTAATGCCATTTCCAGGTTACCTAGTATAATGCCTTATCTCGGGTTTGTTTGTTTATTTGTTTGTTTTTTTTAAGACAGTGGCATGAGGAACTTGGGGTTTTTGCTTTTTCTTCTCTAAGAACCAGTGTACCTAGTTCTAAGCGCAACAGTGAGTAAAGGTTAAGTTCACCACACTTTGCTTTTCAGTCTCGGCTTAAGAGTTGGCCGGCGCTGCCTTGACTTTTATTCTTTGTAGCTCTGGGCTAATCTGTAGACTTTTGTGGAGTTTGTGAATTTGAATTTGATCCAAGTTAGACTTTATGGGCTTCATAAACTGTCATTTTACTCATTACACCTCCCGGTCAGAAGCGTTTCTGTACACAGATACACACAACCAAAACCCAAAACCCAACCAAACCGAGAAAACTATCATGGTAATACTTCTTTTTAGTCAGGTAGGATTTCACGTTTCTTCTCTTCACCTTTCCCTCCCCTCCCCCTCCCCCCTAAAAACATAACAATGTAGGTAATCTTATTATTGTGGAAAATGAAGGGCACTTGGATTTTAATCAGAAGAAAAGTATGTCTTATGTACTTTTTAAGAAAGTGTAGGCAGTTAAAGGAATTTGTAAAAAATATATTTGTCCTAATAATAGGATTTTACTCCCTATTTTATATGTGTGTGATTTTTAGTTTTCACTGAAGGTTTAAGTTATCCATTCTAGAAATCTCTTATGTTGTAAATAGTAAAAGAATTCTCTTGTGAAAGAAGTACCTTTAAACTGAGCCAAAAACAACATGATCTTTCGGACTACACTTTTAAAGACTTTTAGTGAACATAATGACTTACATATCAGTAATACTTTAAAAAATATTAAATGCTGAAATGTAAAAGTATTCACAGTACTTGGCAGTTTCTCTGTTAAGAATTACAAATCCTACAGGACTAGGTTTGTACACATTAACTTTTTAAACCAATAAACACAAAACGGGGAGAAACAAAGTTCACAAAACTTTTTATTACACAATGAGGACAAATCAAATAATTCACTTCAAGTGTATACAAAATGAGAAGTTCTTTTGAATCTATAAATCTCTAACCCACACCTGTCAATTTCCCTCAAATTTATTCCATTCCACCTGAATAAAAAGATAGTAGAATGTAAATTTTTGTGAAGAGAGGTGTACTTTATGCTAAGTTTATATTAAAATATGCATTTCCAGTAGTAAAGTATTTGTAATCATTTATTACGTTTTAGTGCTATTATATCTTTACCTCCACTGATTTTGGTTCAGTTAACTCTTTTTAAGACAGTTAATTTTTAGCCATAACAAAAATCTGTATAAAACTTCAGTAAAATATGTATTACCCTTTTGTTGCAAAGGTTAGACATTACTATCTGATGGCTGTTAACACCCTCAGTTGTTGTGTAAACATTGAAGTGTTTTAAAAGTAATAATAACTGTAGTAACTCTTAGGAATGAATTCATTGAATTTTTCATTGAGAAACTAATTAAATGAAACCAATTTTAAAAGAAATTAAATGACACATTAGAATTATTATGTGATGGTATTTTAGATATTTCACAAGAAATCTAAACAAAAGCTTAGATAATCTCTGGTTTTAAAAACTTTCTCAGATGTTATTTCCTTTTAAATCATCAGTTCATCTTTTAGGAAAGATAAAAATAATTTGTGCAATGTTTATATATCTAGTATAGATTTGAAGAGTTAATTTTTTTTAAACTGTTTTTTATGAAGGTTATTTGAACTTATTAAAACCATTCTGAATACTTTGTGGGGTTTTCATATAATCTTTATTACTTCCCTCCCCTCCCCGCTCCATGGAGGTATGACAGCTGTTATTGCACAACAACAGCAAAAGCAAAGAAGGGGTTAAGTAGTTTGCCCAATGTCACTTAAACTAGTATTTGGTTTATGTATACTAGTATATAGATTCAAACTATTATGTGGATTCAAACTCAGGTCTTTATGACTCCAAAACCCCTATTTATATAAGGTCAAAGGGACTCTAAATTTCTTTAGAGGTTTGATCCAGTTAATTCTATTAAATTGCTTGGACTGAGGAGATGGATGGAATTTCAACAAGATTTAGAGGGGTAAGTAACTTCCTCAAAGTTGCAAAGAAGATGGGGGAATCCTAGAATAGGTTTAAAGTCTTTCTTTTAGTCAATTGCTTTATCCATCTTAAACCTTTACCTTTAAATGTTTAGTTCAAATTGTTTACTTGGATTCTACTTTTAATCATGTTTTCTAAAAAGTTAACTGGGCAGTCCCGATGAAGCAGTACATTCTTGGTTGTATAAAGATGTTAAATAGCTCAGAAGGGGACTTCCCTGGTGGCGCAGTGGTTAAGAATCTGCCTGCCAGTGTTGGGGACACAGATTCCAGCCCTGGTCCGGGAAGATCTCACATGCTGCGGAGCAACTAAGCCCGTGCGCCACAACTACTGAGCCTGTGCTCTAGAGCCCGCGAGCCACAACTACTGAGCCTGCCTGCCACAGTTACTGAAGCCCACACGCCTAGAGCCTGTGCTCCGCAACAAGACAAGCCACCGCAGTGAGAAGCCCGTGCACTGCAACGAAGAGTAGCCGCCTGCTCGCCACAACTAGAGAAAGCCCGCGCCAACAACGAAGACCCAATGCAGCCAAAAATAAATATAAATAAATAAATAAATGTATTAAAAAAAACAGCTTAGAAGGTTTATATCACATTTTTCTGTACAATATTATTTGTGGCGATGTTTTCTTTCAAAATAGTTATAGTTAGAATTTATAACACAGAATAACTATATAAGGAGCTAGAAATACCTAATCTACTTAGGTGTTTTGGAAATTTTTGAAGCTATATGACAAATGGAAGCCAAAATGATATTCAGTTTTGATTTCTGGCTCCTACTAAGAACCACTAAAACTTTTGATAGTATAATACTGCCAATGATTTGATGCAGTTGGGAATGTAGTGCTCACAGATTGACCAATTTGTTACTAATTGAGATGATTATTTAAGAAATCTAAAGTCATTACACATAGTAAATATTGTAAAGTTTCTTCAAGCCTTAAGGTTACAAAGGAATTTTAATCTATTTGCTGACTATACTTCATTATAACTCTTTATAAATAAGTTTTAATTAGCATATAGTACTCAAAAATAAATCGGAAAGCACTGGGTTGAGCTATTTTGGCCTTTTACTGCTTTAAAAATAATTAGCCTACTTTGACCCTACTCTTCTTGCTCCGTGATCTGTGAAAGAAAAAAAAATTTGGGCATGTAATATTCTGTTCAAAATCTTTAGACAGTTCTTTAAAGGTAGTATTAAATAGCTGGTGTGATCTTGTGCATTATATCTTAAAGTGAAGTTGACACTGTTAATGCAGATTCCTGTCTATTCCCTTCTCAAGTATTTGTAGCTTCAATTTCTTAACTTTATGAGCTACCTTATCTGTATGAATTTTTCCAACAATTCTTTTATGCATTAGCCCTTTCAAGACTAGTAACTATAGGCAAATACTTTTTGAGTGTCTTCTAGCTCTAAATTCTTCTGTTAGAAATTCTGCCATTGTGGCCCCAGAAGCAAGTGAGTCCATTTTTTTGTTTTTGTTTTTTGTTTTGGGAAGAGTGCCATAAAACATTGGAGTTGCTGGTGGCAGGAAAACATTGAGAGTTACAAATTCAGCAGAAAATAGTGTTGTGTTGATTTTTGAAAGTCCTCCATTTCTAAGTGGTGTTTATGTTTTGAGAATCCTAAGGCTGTTTTCCAGACCTTTGCCACTCAACGTGTGGTTCGCAGTTATAGAGCAGAGCTTTTCAAACTTAATGTGTATATGAATTCTCTGAAAGTCTTGTTAAAATGAAGATTTAATATGTATGGGGGTGGGACCTTGAGATTCTGCATTTTAACGAACTCTCAGTGTAGATGCTGCTGTTTGGTACACACTTTGAGTAGTAGGCTCTAGAATTCTCAGTATCTCAATCACCTATCTTGATACATTTTAAAAAGTTTTGAAAAAGCATTCTACTTTATTCTGATACTTGATACTTAAACTAACCCCTATTAGAGCAAAGCACTTGAGCTCTTTCTGCTTCAGTTTTATGTATATGAATTTATACTTACTACTTATGTATGACAAGTTTAAGCAGATCCCTCCATGTTAGTCTCATCTTGCACCAACAAAAGTGAGATTTTTAGAATCTGCAAGAGAGAATGCCATATAGTGTAATGGCTAATAGAATAGAGATTCTGGGTTTCTGATCAAATCTACCACTTACCAGCCTTATGACCTTGGACAAGTTACTCAGCTCTGCATAGCCTCAGTCCTCAGGTTGCTGTGATGATGAAAAAAGATAATCCATTTGGTACCATGCCTGGCACTTAGCTGTTATCAAGAGAAAGGCAAGCAGGCTTTGTGAAAATATATTAGGATTCTGGATAGAGAGTGAAATGATCTGAAGTTGAGAAGGACTGCTTTAGGGAGCATTGGGAATTGAACTAGAGGACACCACTTTAGGAGCACTTATTTATTCTACTCATCTTTTCTTCTGTGCTTCTTTTCTCTTGTTCCTCCTCATTACTTTCAGGGAACTGAAAAGCGTCTCAAAGTTTCCTTCTCTACTTTCCTGTCCCCAAAGCTAGCACACAGCTTTTTTCTTAAGAGTTTTTATTGCTAGTCACAAGGGAGGAAAAATAAAAGATAGAAAAATACCTTTTTTCTTTTCATTGTACCCCTCTCCTCATTTAGATTTATCTGGGAAAGATAAAGACATACATATAAACACACTCATATGTAAACCTAAGGCTTAAGTTTATTCTAGTAATTTCATTTGGGCTGCCAAGCTTGACTCTATAAGCAGGGCTGCTTTTATTTATTTAAGCTCAAATACATTGTTCATAAGAATGCTTTTATTTAGGATTTTTAAAAGAGAAGTAAGCTAAAACAACAGTTTGTTTTTGCAGTAGAATGTTTTAAATGATGAAAAGATGTTGTAGATACTGTACATTTTCAATGAGGGCTGCAGTACATAATTTCCCAGAAAGTTTGCTGTTGATTTTGATCTGGGGCACTAGTTAAATGTTTAGTAATAGTAACTCATCTAGATTTATTATGAAATACGTAATAGTTGAGAACACAAAATTGGCTTGAGTAGTTCACCACTATGTAAATATTTTTCTGAGTGAAAAACTTTTAATTGCTACTTCCGCATTCTCTTACAGATTTTCAAGGAAAATGACTTTAATTAGAGTCTGATAGTTATACCATAACGTGTATAGTTGCAAGAGAATAAAGACTTTTTTGCCTTGCAACTTTGCACACTTATTTTAATATCTTTTTTACTTTTGTCTTCTTTCAACATATAAATATATAAATGTCAAAATATATATACACACACACACATATATATAAAATTTGAAGCTAAAGGTAACTTTTACATTTATGCCAGTAAGGTTTAACATTAATTTTAGCATAAATGGGGAGTGAAGAGAAGATGGTAAATAGTTTTCCATTTCTGTGTAACTTATATTCATATGCATCCATTTAATTAACTGAGATAAAAATGAAATGCTTTAAATTATATATAAATAATTGCCCAAGTAAAATTTTCTACCTTGAATAATGTGTCGCTTATATTCAGTTTTAATAACGGAATAAATTTGGTTTTTATCAGAACGTATAATAATGTACTTATTTATCTCTAAATTTAAACTTCAGCATTATGTGTTTTTAAATATTCAGCAATAGCAAGCAGACTGTTTCATCTCAAGTTTATGTAGTTTGTAGTTTCATGAAAAATAGTTGTATTGTGTCTCACGATGTAATTATTCCTTTTAATATTACATATTCATTACATATCAATAGATGTATCGGTTTAAATATGGGATACTGGTAGCTTTATTTTTCTCATTGTAGTTCCTTGGAATATAGTACAAGTAGAAGCATGTTTATTTCATTTACAATGTACATCAAAAAACTCTGAAAGGGGCTTCCCTGGTGGCTCAGTGGTTGAGAGTCCGCCTGCCGATGCAGGGGACATGGGTTCGTGCCCTGCGCTGGGAAGATCCCTCATGTCGCGGAGTGGCTGGGCCCGTGAGCCATGGCCGCTGAGCCTGCGCGTCCGGAGCCTGTGCTCCGCGGCGCGAGAGAGGCCCGCGTACCGCAAAAAAAAAAAAAAAAAAAAAATTATAGTAGGTCCTTTTTTTTTTTTTTTTGCTGTATGCGGGCCTCTTACTGTTGTGGCCTCTCCCGTTGCGGAGTACAGGCTCTGGACCCGCAGGCTCAGTGGCCATGGCTCACTGGCTCACGGGCCCAGCCGCAACGGGGCACGAGCCCGTGTCCCCTGCATCGGCAGGTGGACTCTCAACCACTGTGCCACTAGGGAAGCCCGTAGGTCCTTTTTTTTTTTAGAAAAAAAAGGTCTATAATCAGTTTAGTTTTTTTTGTTGTTGTAGAAGTAAAGTTGATTTACAATGTTATGTTAGTTTCAGGTATACAGTTTTATATATATATATATATATTCTTTTTTCAGATTCTTTTCCCTTATAGGTTATTACAAAATATTAAGTATAGTTCCCTGTGTTATACCGTAGGTCCTTGTTTGCCTATTTTATACATAGTCATGGATGTCTGTTAATTGCAAACTCCTAATTTATCCCCCCCTTTCCTTTTTGGTAATCGTAAGTTTGTTTTCTATGTCTGTGAGTCTGTTTCTGTTTTGGAAATAAGTTCATTTGTATCTTTTTTTAGATTCCACATAAAAGTGATGTCGTATGATATTTGTCTTTGTCAGACTTACTTCACTTAGTATAATAATCTAGTCTATAGTCCATCCATGTTGCTGCAAATGACATTATTTCATTCTTTTTTATGGCTAAGTAATATTCCATTGTATATATATATATATATATATATATATATACACACACACACACACACACACACACACACACACACACACACACGCAGACACACACACCACATCTTCTTTATCCATTCATCTGTCAATGGACACTTAGGTTGCTTCCATATCTTGGCTATTGTAAATAGTGCTGCTATGAACATTGGGGTGCAGGTGTCTTTTTGAATTAGAGGTTTTGCCTTTTCTGGATATATGTCCAGGACAGTTCTTAATTTTAAGTGTAAAGAAGACAGAACCATAGAAAGACTCTTGAATCTTCAGGTTTCATTAGTTAAATTAAATCAAATCAAGATATTTATTGACTATTTGTTACACGTTTGCATGTTAAATCCTGGAGAGTGGAGGTGGGTATCCTTTAGTTAGTAGCCCAGGTGTACTACAAACTTTGGAGTCAGAAGTTTGTTTTGAGTGCTGCCTCTTCCATTTACCAACAGGTGATCTCAGGCAAGTTACTTGACTTTTCTGAGTAGTTTTCTAAGTATTTCAAACATTATTTTACTTAATCCCAGGAGCCACCCTATAAAGTTAACTTGGTGGATATTATCATAATGCTCAAGAGGGACACCTACTTCCCTACTTTTAGTGGGTAGCATGGTGTAGGGGAGACAGGTGAGAGCAAGGATTTTAAGGTTAGACAGGCTTAAATTTGAATTCTATGGCTAGCACCTTGGCCATATTCCACATATGTTTGAGGCTCATGGAAATAATCCTACCTGTCTCAGAATTGTTGTGGAGGTTAAAGGAGGTTAAGGGCTTTCTTACTGCTTTATCTCTTGTTCCTGCCGCATAATAGGCGCTCTATAAATATTTCTTGAGTAAATGAATATCTGGCATAGTAGACATTCATGAGAGGTTCCTTCCCTTCTGATTCTTAGTCTGTTCCTCTGTTCCTGCCTCTGGAACTATTGAACTTGAAACCCAGTTTGTGTTTAAGGTTTTGTTTTGTTTTTAAATTAATCTGCTTGATTAGGTATTTAGGGTTATAAAAAGGACAAATTTACTTTTTTTTTTCTTTTTTGCGGTACGCGGGCCTCTCACTGTTGTGGCCTCTCCCGCTGCGGAGCACAGGCGCCGGACGCGCAAGCTCAGCGGCCATGGTTCACGGGCCCAGCCGCTCCGCGGCACATGGGATCCTCCCGGACCGGGGCACGAACCCGTGTCTCCTGCATCGGCAGGTGGACTCTCAACCACTGCGCCACCAGGGAAGCCCCCAAACTTACATTTTTAAATGATTTTTTTTTCAGTAGAAGGGAGATTCCTGAAAACCTTTAGTATGCATGAACCTAATTTTTTGGTTGTTATTAAGCTCCTCAGAGTTTAATGTGTTTTTATCACTCTGTTACTGGACTATTATATTTTACTTGCTGTAATACTAAAATGAATCAACCAAATACACACTCAAAGTAGCATAGACCATAAATTACAAACCTGACATGATCTTAAATTAGAAATGTGGTTTTGTTTTAATTATCTATGTGTAGTGAGTTAGTTTATGATATATATTTATTTAGCTTATTGACTGTCATTGAAGCGGGAAGCCGGCTTTATGTAACTCTTTGGAAGTGCAAAAAATTTTCCCCTTTATATGGAATTAATGTTACATATACATTTTTAGAGTGTTATCACATTATATTAATACATACACATATCTAAGTATTTGACATCCTCCATTGGGCTATGAATTCCTTAAGAGCAGGGGCTATTTTGTTCATTCTTGTATTCTTGCTGCTCAAGTTTGTGCCTGTCAATAATATAGCTGTGTTGTGCTTGTTGTGAGACAGGATACCTGGTCCTAATCAAGGGCCTCCTTAGGGACTTTTATTTTTAATTTTGCCCTAGATATTTAGAACTTAAACTCTGCATAAGTTGCTACTGCACTATATGGTTAGGAAACAGATGTTATTTTGAAATTTTAATAATCAGTAAGACATTCAGTAATGAGTAAGGCACAATTGTTTTGAAAGATTTATTCAAAGTTAATCTTTGTATGAAAAGGTAGTAATCTTGCTTGTGTTTTCCGAAGTCCTTGTAGCAGTGAGTTTAAAATTACTCAAATATTAATTAAAGGCATACTGTGTATAAAGCATTCTATACAAGCTTTTTATAAAGCATGTTTTGCTTAGGGTAAAGCTTTTTTAGCCCTATGATATTTATAAAGGCAGTCTCAGAGATTGTTTATCCTTTTTCTTAGAATTCTTATGATACCTATACTAGCAGTCTGATATCTAAATAATAGAAATCATGTTTAGGTGGAAAATCCAAAATTTGTCTTGTTCAATTTTTGTCTCTGAATGTGATTAATATTACTTTTCTTTCTTTTTATCTTTTTAAAAATAGTATATATATATTTTAAAATAATTTTATTTATTTTTATTTTTGGCTACATTGGGTCTTCGTTGCTGCACGCGGGCTTTCTCTAGTTGCGGTGAGGGGGACTACCCTTCGTTGCGGTGTGGGAGCTTCTCATTGTCATGGCTTCTCTTGTTGCAGAGCACGGGCTCTAGGTGCGTGGGCTTCAATAGATGTGGCACGCGGGCTCAGTAGTTGTGGTTCGCGGGCTCTAGAGCGCAGGCTCAGTAGTTGTGGTGCACGGGCTTAGTTGCTCCATGGCATGTGGGATCTTCCCGGACCAGGGCTCGAACCCGCATCCCCTGTGTTGGCAGGTGGACCCTTAACCACTGCGCCACCAGGGAAGCCCCTAAAAATAGTATTTTAATAACTGGTCTTAAGTGACATGCCTTTCTTGGTATGCCAGGCATTATATTCTGCCTTCTTTTTTCTTTGAAACAGACTTATTTGAAAATGTCTATGAGTCTTCAATGAAGAGAAGAGAACTTGAAGATCTGAAGGATAATATTGGCTTCAGGGGTCATAAGCCACTTAATAGCATCACTGTGTCAAAGAAACGCAATTGGCTATATCAGAGTACTCTGAGATCTTTTAATTTGGAAGACGAAAATAAGAAATGCCAAGATATAAGTCATTTATCCATCTCACCCGTTTCTCTACCTAAACTGCAGCTGTCACGACCTTTCCTCAAATCATCTGAAGAATATTGTACGTATATGGTGTGTACTGCTACAAATTCTTCATTATCAAGAGACTGTTCATTAGACTTTAATGAGGAAAATGATGCAGATGATGAAGGAGAAATATGGTACAACCCCATTCCTGAGGATGATGACTTTGGTATTTCAAATGCCTTGAGTTTTGGGGAGGCAGACTCTGCTGTTCTGAAGTTTCCTGATGTCGGTTTGAGAGTATTATCTGGTAGTGACCTAATGAAAGAAGAGCAGCACACTGAAGACTTGCTGTGCTCTTCTGAACACACAGGCGATGTTCAGACCACACAGTCAAATGAAATAAATCCTATAGATTCCATCTATTCCACAGAGTTTGTGGAGCAGTACAAGCAAAGGCATGGACACAAGACACAAGAAGGTATAATAGGAGAGGAGAGTCCCACGTTGAAATCTCCTTTTGCAGGTAAAGATGATCATATATCTGCCTTTTCTTCTTCCATTTTTCAATTCTTTGGCAGTATCTAAAACTAAATATAGATGTCTATTGTAGCTGTGTACTTTTCCTTACAAAGTGAGTATATTTTCATGAAAATAAAACTGAAAAAGGTTTATAAACATTTTTATATACATGGTGGTTTAATTATTCCTATTACAGACTTGGTTTTGTAAGGGGTGAAGGAGCTGGGGTAGTCCTACACCAACTTTTAGTGTGTATGGTGTGGTTTTAGTATGTCTATCCTTTGAGGCAGTAATTACTTTTCTCTTAGTTGAAAGAATGGAGTCTCAGGGACTGGAAGAGATATATTCTTCATGTATGTCTTGTTTTGCTTCATTCATTTATTTATTCATTCATTCATTCACACCTGGTCTGGCCACAAATGAAAAATTGTATATTCAGTATACTAGCAGTCATTAGTTTTCACTTTTGTGCCTACATTTCCTCAGAAACAAAGGAAAGGAAGAAGAGAAAAAGAAAGGAGAGGTAGAAGTAAAGAACTTGCAAATAGGTGCTACAATAGATATGGAACCCAGAAAGGAAATAATTGAAGTTTGATGTGTATTAGTTTGAACCATATGAAACTGCCAATATTTAAGAGTTTTTGGTCTGAAAACAAAAACAAAAACAAAAACCTGGCAATTCATATAGTTCAACCTAATGGTGTTATTTTCACTTGATTGCCTTGATTTCTGGTGTGCTTCTTTTTAAATTTAGTCCCAGACACACTACCCAAGAAAACACTACCTAAGTACTTTTAGTTGCAGTTATTAAATGTTGAATAGAAAGCAGTTCTATATAATGAGTCATTTTAATTTATAAAATTTCAAATGATACAGAGTAGTCAAAGATGTGGGGTATAGAAGATGCTGTTAGTACTTGTCCATATCCCTTGGGTTTTATTACTTATTTAAATGGAGGCAGCCTACTTCCAAAAATCAGTATCTGCATCTCTACTTGAGGACTCCTTCCAAAGTGTTAGAGAGTCTCCTGCAGGACATCCTGGGAGTGCCCCTCAACAAGTGACTGACAGGAGTTGGTATAGGCCTACCCCAGCTCCCTCCACACTTGGGTGGGATAATTGTATATTGTTTCCCAGAGTTTTCTCATGAAGTTAAGCTCCAGGTGCCCATAGTGGTAGCAGGCTTGATAATTCACCTTGAATTTTCTCCTGAATTTTCTCACTTTCTTGCTGATCTTTTTGTACTTTACAAGTAATCTACTTGCATTTGGATCCTTTTCTCAGGGGTATGAGGAGAAGGAGTAAATATTATATTGATAAGAAAAAAAGTGAGTTAAAAAACAGTGTGAACTGTATGATGTCAATTTTGAAAGAAACAATGAAAAGCTGTCCTGGAACTGTTAATGCTTGACCCATCCTTACCCCCTGTGTTGGGATTAAAATTGTGTGTGTGCATTTCTAATTGTAGTCTGATTTTCCAGAGCAAATGTGTGTTTCTTTTGTAATATGGATGGGAAGAGGAATAAATAGTCTATAAAATAATAGTTTGGAACAGAGGTTGTGATCAGGATGGAGTGATGAGGAAGGCTTGCAGGAGTAGGGCAGACAGATAGTGATGGGTCTGGAATGGTGCAGAAAAAGCAAGAGGGCATAAGTATAAGAGCAACATTAGAGAGCCAGTGTCTGTAAAGTGATATACACTTTAAGTACTGTCTTTAAACTTTATTATTTTATGTTTGTGGCAAATTATGAATCTGTAAAGACTGACAGATATTACCAAAAAAACAAAAAAACCACCCAAATTTGAAAGTACAGTAGGGCTGCCAATTATGTCTCCTTTCTTACTGTTATTCTTCTCTTAAGTATATTATTACAACAAGCACGTTCCTAAGTTGACCAAAGGAAGTATTTGGACAGTTCGTTTATATGTCATCTTTTTGCTTTAGTTTGATCAGAAAGGTCATTTACCTAAAGTGGTATGTTTTCTTTAGCAACATTGGCAGAAATCTGTTGAGAAATAGGCAAAGAGAATGGTTGAATTTCAAAATAATTTTTTGTTTAAGAAATAGGAAAGTTTAAGTATTTTTAATATGAATGACAATTTTATGATCATCCTAACACAGTTGTGACTTGTTTTTTCCCTTTTAACTTCTGGTTGTTTATGTATCTTTTACCTAGTTGCTGACATAGTGGACTATTTTTGGTTTTTGCTAATTTCACTTGCTATCTATATTTTGTGTTGTTACATGTAGGTTAATCTTATGATTGTTTCCCTATTTTTAAAGTATTTAATTGAGTTGATGTGCCCTAATCTGTTTGACTGGTTCCTTAATGTTGGGTGTTAATAGACTCTACTACTGTTGCAGTGATCTTTATCATGATCTATTTTGCTTCATTAGGATCCATTACTAGTATCTTTACTTGGTCTTTTTAGCTGGTAACTAGTATAGGTAATTTCTATATTGTATTTCCTGAAAGGTTTACCAATTTATAGACAATTAACAATTGGTTAATTCATTTATTCAATAAACACAGAGTTTCTGGTATGTGCCAGTTACTGCTCTAGATGCTGAAGGAGTGTGCCAGTTTCAATTGATTCAAGCCTGGTTCATAAATTTATATTTAAAGATTTTCATTTTATGTTTTCCCCTTATAAACTGTAGCTAATCTGTGATTTGGTTAGTATAATTTTGGTTTAATTTTAAGTGATTGTTCAAATTGGTCATATTTCAGCTCTTGGATTTTATAAAAACAAAGCATTTAAAAAAAATAAATTCAGTCTTGTCTGTAGGAGAAATTGCTAACAAATACAGTATTTCATTTTAATAATTAGGTAAGGACTTCAGTAGGAGATATTTAATGCATAATATGTAAAAAAGTCAGTATGTTAGATTAACTCTTTATTGATTTGATAAAACCTAGAGCAATTTCATATACTGAGTAGCTTTTTTAGGCCATGACAAAATATATTGTAGACTACAGTAGGACTCTGACTACTATAGAATATTTTAGACCAGGAAACCAGTAGAATTGTACTACAATTTACAGTACAAGGGAACGCTTTGTCTAGTTTATCAAACACTCCATTTCTTATTAGTTGCTTACCAGAAAAGCCCAGCAGGCATACTTAAAATAGTCCTTTCTCTACAAAGAAACTACTTTGTCAATAGGACACGTTGAAGGGTGGAGGGAGAATACTATATTAATACTTTAAAGAAAGTTCATTTAATCTACTGATTTTTGAAATGAATAAACACTTTTTTCTCATTTTAGTTGTCAAATGTATTATTACATAGAGTAACCTCTGATATTAGGGTCATTAAGGATCTTTATAAGGAATTATTAAATAAAGTATGAATAATTAATTTAAATTTTAAATAATTGGGATAATACCAACAGAGTTTTAGAAGTTACTTTCACTTTGTTCTATTAATTTGAAAACTTACTAGGAACAGGTTCAGATTTTGAAATGAAATTGATTAGTCTTTACATTCTTATTTTGGGGGGGGATTGAAAGTTTAAGGTTAAATGGAATACTTTAACTTCTTAATAATAGTTGAGAAAAGGTATCTGAAAATCAGTTTGATGTATATGTATGGACAGAAAATTATTTAGAAGGATGGAGAGACTGAAAGCGTAGTACTTTAGAGCATAGATTCTGAAAGCCTGTGTTTAGGTTTGAGTCCTGATTCTTCCACTTACCAGCTTTGTGATCTTAGACAAATTAGCTCATGCATGAGGTTCCTTACCTGGAGAATGGGGTGGTAATGGTATCTTACCTCTTAAGGTTATTATGAGAGTTAAATGAGGGTGTGCTCATACTAATTATTAAATTAATTTTTCACACTTTGTCTAGCTCAGTAAATGTTGGCTGGTATTATTTTTAATAATAACTAAATATTAATAATTTAATAATAACAATAGAAACTACTTTTAATATTATTTTCACCACAATATTTACCATGATTAATCTCCCGGTAGTGCGGTTTTATAGTGGTTAATCTCTTGGCAATGTGGGCTATTATTTACTTTATTTGTACTTTTTTGAATTTTTAAAAAATGTTTTATTGTAAACCTGAGTAATTCTGACATTTAGGAAAAAATAAAACTATTTTTGTGTGGAGAAGAATTCGAAAGAATTTTAACACTTTATGAAAATTGAAAATTATAAGAAAACATACTTTATCTCTGTACTGTCATTTAATATATTAAAATTGCAAAGAAACGCCCTAATTTAGCTTTTGAAGTTCTACGGAATTATTGCATAAAGATAATACAAGAAAGAAAATGTCTATACATTCAAAAAATTATTCAGGTAGGTTTATGATATTCATTATTCAGTTATTCTTGATTAACTAGAGTTCATTCTATATAATCTTTGGTGATATGTTCTAATACAATTTTTTTTGCGATACGTGGGTCTTTCACTGTTGTGGCTTCTCCCGTTGCGGAGCACAGGCTCTGGACGCGCAGGCTCAGTGGTCATGGTTCACGGGCCCAGCCGCTCCGCGGGAGGTTGTATCTTCCCGGACCGGGGCACGAACCCGTGTTCCCTGCATCGGCAGGCAGACTCTCAACCACTGCGCCACCAGGGAAGCCCGTTCTAATAGAATTTTAGAGCCAATTAAGTTGGCTCTTAGTTGTCAAAATTATACACTTGTTTGGTTTTTAACTTTTTTTTTTAACCAGCAATGCTATGTGATGAAATTTAGTTTTTAGAGTATTGTAAATATAGAGGAATCATTCTTATATTAGGTAGAATTTATAAATAAACATATTAAAATGGGAAACATGTTGAAATTAATGTTTCAATATGTTAAAATGAACATATTAAAATAGGAAGCTTTCCTAGTTTTCTCTGATATTCACTGTTTACAGTTATAAACACATGCTCACTGAAGTATATTGCAGTGGGAAAGATTTAAAAGGAACCTATATTACCTTTCCTCCAAAGCGTCAGAATAGAAGGGCAGATGGAGAGGGAGATATTTCTTTCCACCGGAAGCCATTTGTAGATCTTGATATTCTGCTTGAACATGGTAATGGAGATTCATCTAAACTTTTGACTAAATCTCACCCTTAAGATGAGACAGGGAAGAATTTGTGTCCATGTGAGAGCTTGTTAAATTGGTGTTTTATAAAGTAAAAATAAAAGTAGGAATCAAAACATTTCACCTTATAATGTCTTTTATTTTCAAGGTCCTGGGATAGTAGCTGCTACAAATAAGCCTGATTTGGGAGTTGCAGGACCATCTTCTCCAAGCCCTAGCCCTGTGAAAAAAGGCAGTTCAATTCATTGGTCTTTCCCGGATAAAATAAAATCTCCACGAACTGTGAGGAAACTTTCCATGAGAATGAAAAGGTTGCCAGAATTTAGCCGGAAACTAAGTGTTAAAGGAAACTTGAATTATGGAAACAGTCCGGATAATACTCCTTCCTTGTCTAAATGTAACTGGCAAGAAATTCATAATGCTGTTATTCTACCTTCTGGGAACACAACCACAGCTGCTAAGAGGAATGTTATAAGCCGGTACCATCTTGATACTAGTGTGTCTTCTCAGCACAGCTACCAGAAGAAAACCTCTGTGAGTTCTAAGTATTCCTGCAAAAGTGGTTACCTCAGTGATGGAGATTCTCCCGAACTTATAGCTAAATCTAGCAAACATGGATGTGAAAACAAATTTGCAAAAGGAAAAGAAATAATTCCAAATAGTTGTAGCAAGAATGAAATAGACATTGATGCTTTTAGACATTATAGCTTTTCTGATCAACCTAAGTGTTCCCAGTACATATCTGGGCTCATGAGTGTGCATTTCTATGGTGCTGAGGATTTAAAACCACCTCGGATAGATTCAAAAGATGTCTTTTGTGCAATTCAGGTAGATTCAGTAAACAAAGCCAGAACAGCTTTGCTCACATGTCGGACAACGTTTTTAGACATGGATCACACTTTCAACATAGAAATTGAAAATGCACAGCATTTGAAATTAGTAGTATTCAGTTGGGAACCCACTCCAAGAAAAAATCGAGTGTGTTGTCATGGAACTGTTGTTCTTCCCACCTTATTCAGAGTGACAAAGACACATCAGTTGGCTGTCAAACTTGAACCTAGAGGTCTTATTTATGTGAAAGTGACTCTTTTGGAACAGTGGGAGAATTCACTTCATGGACTAGATATAAATCGAGAACCAGTAATATTTGGTGTTGATATTCGAAAAGTTGTAGAGAAAGAAAATATAGGCTTGATGGTACCACTCCTGATTCAGAAATGTATTATGGAAATTGAAAAGAGAGGCTGTCAGGTATTATTTTACTGTGTTTCTCTACTGCCCCCTTATCTGTCTATTTGAGTAATAATTAAATTTATTTATAGTAAGTCTTGGGGGAAGGAGTTCAAGGTAAGTTAAAAAAAATCCAATTTAGACTTTTTCTCATTCCGATTCTTTATTTTTATTCCATTGCTGTTTAGGATGTAATTTATGCCTTAACCTATGTTGTCAGTGATTGAAAGTGTGCTAGATGGTTCCATAATTTATGTTATGATGCAGAGCTGCATGGTCTTATACTTAGAGATGAAGATTGCTTTACAATGGCATTCCTAGGAAAAGCCAGAGCTGATAACATAGGCTAAGCCTAATTCATTTAAGGAATGTTTCTGAATGTTTTGACATTCTTTTGGTAGAGAGTTCAACAGTGAATATTATAACCCTGTTTCACTCCTAAAATTAACTCCCTGCCCTTATTCCCTGTTCTCCCTCAGTTCCACTCTTTGGAAAGCATAAGCTTATCCATGTCTTACCTTTGGGATAGCATGGAGGATAAGGAGAGGTCCTACTAATAAAAGCACATCTCATTCTCTTTTCCTTTTAAAGAAGGTAAAAGCAGTTCATTAGAACAAACAAAAAACCTGGTGTTATTTGTAACAAGATATGTACATGTTAACTAGTTAGTAGACCTTATCTTTATTTTCATTTATACATGTAGACTATGACAATGAGAAACAGTGTATGACTGAGGATATTAATGAGGTATAAGTAATTATTTATACTAATTTTTTGCAATACAAAATAAGCCTAAGCATCATTATGTTCTGAAGTATTTTGCTTTAGTGCTATCAGAATTTATAACATACATTAAAAAATATCGAGGATATATACCACAAAATCTGAAATATGATTTCTTTATAAGAATGTAGACGCACACTTAAAATAATCTACCTTGAATTTAACATGGAAATGATAGAAATTGCATAAGTTAGTGGAGTTTTGTATAAAGGTACAAGAGACTTGGATTCTGGTTTCTCATCCATCATTGGCTGTGTGATGTTGGGCAAGTCACTTAATCTCTGTGGGTCTTTTTTGCTTATATTAAATAAAAATAGATGCAGTAGCTTCCTGAAGCTGAGAGGTAGGACATTTGAATTTTTGAAACCTCTTTTCAGATATGTGATTCCATCAAGTCAAGTTTACGTTGTCTGGGTGGAAGTGAGGCCTTCAGTTTCCAATCCAACTTTTGGTCCAGTTACTTTTTTCTTAAGGTCCTCTGTTTCCTGTATTTTTTTTTTTTTCCACGCAGCATGTAGGGAGGCCAGAGATCAGGCAGACTTTAAAGCTAATTATTTAAACAGAAACTTTTACAATTGTATATTAAAATAAGTAACTCAAATAACGCTGTACTTTTACAGTCTATTTTCTGAAAATATTTTATAAAGAGCAAGTATATAAGACTGTAATAACTGATTTTAAATGCCAAGAAAATATTTTTAGCAATGCTTTTTATTTCTATACTTAAAGTTTAGAAAGTTTTATTTTAATAAAGAATTATTTCCTGTGAAATAAAAAGTAAAAAAAAATTTACAATTGTATGTTTGGAGCTGCACTTTTTCAACACCTTTTCTTGTTTTGTCTCTTTTGTTTCTCCCTGTTGCACCCCAACACACGCACAGAAAGAGGCTGATTGTGCCTGCAGTTTTCAGAGCAGCATACTGCTTAAATTTTGTTTACCTCTCTAGTCAGTAATTATTCTTGTTTTTTTACAATGAACATCAGGTTTTGATAGTCAAACAAAAAATGGTTTGTGATATCTTCGAAATACTTTGAAGGCTACTACCACCTGTCTCCTGCTTCCAATAGGAAAAATTAGTATAGAAATCATCCTCATGGTCCATCCGGTTCAGATTCTGTCCTCAATAGAGGCATCAAGCATGTACTTCAAGTGTTTGATTCAAGAAGTCAGCCTCTGAAGGTAGGGATATATCCTAAAATATCCCTGCCTGACATATCTATATTAGCTCTTCCTTCTTTTATTCACCTTTAAAACTATATTTGTAATTGCAGCTTTTGGGATAACATGTTCCATTAATTTATTACTTGCTATTGAAGTATTGCTTTCTTTAATTTGTTCTAGGTTCATCTCTTTCTCAAGTTTAAGAGGATACATCCTTATGAAATTTTGTGACACTTAAGTGTGCATACACCAGAAGGGCTGTACTCAAGTTAGTTTCTTCTCATGTGGTAGCATTTCCTTTGATCCTGTTTAATATTTTAGTTTCATTGTCTGGATCATCTACCGTTCTACTTTTCTTTCTTGTGATGATGTGAATGTAACATGAATGTGGATAAGAACAGGAAATTTGAATTTTCTTTCCAGTACCTTCCTCGATTTCCCATATCATGTTGATTCTTTTGAATGCAGCAGCACCTTGAATTACCTTCTCTTAGAAATAGTTGCAGGTTCTTTACTATCTTTCAATTAATACTTAATGCTTGTCATCGCAAGTATTTTGGATAACATTTCCATGTATCCATTACTGACGCTTTCCTATATTGAGACCCACTTTCTGTAGTGTATTCTATCAGTTATTTAAAAACTCAGAAGAGGTTGTCATAAGTAAACTGGGAAATTTCATTTGCATTCTTCCTCTAGATCACTTTTAGCATTTTAAAGTGATTCCTAGTTCAAATCCTTGGGGATTGCACTGTGTGTTTTCACTTTATTTCTGTCTTGAAATAATTTCTTTATCTGTAACTTCTTTCAATTCAAGGTGATTAAACTTCCTAAATAGTCTTTGATGTGGAAGTATAGGTGACAACCGCTTTCCTCAATTTTCTTGAAGGTTTATCCTTTTAAAAAACTCCAATTGCTTAATCAGGCATGTTTTCTCTTTAAGATACCATGTTGATTTCCTCTTAGTGAATTTATACTGAACTAACAGTGTTTAAAAAACAAATCTTTTTAATGTAGGTTGAGGGGAGAGTGAGTGGTGTCTTTGCATCTTATATACATTTTGAACTAGAAGTTTTATTTTACCTTTAATATATTATTTTAATTGAATTTCCTTCATTGCCTTATAATCAATTAATTTGATAAGTTAAAAAATCCTAGATTTATTTTTATTTCTTCCTCAGAAACTTTTTTTTTTTTTAAAGATAACTTTACACAAATAGTATACTGGAGCCTTATTTCAAAAATATACTTTTTTCGAGTTTTAAAGAGATTAAGTAACTTGCTCAGATTCACCAAGCAAGGAGTGATAGTGTGGGGCTTTATGAATCCAAAACCCTAGTTTAACTGCTGTGCTGTATTACTTCAGTCTAGAGCAAAACATGTGAAAGGGCAACATCTTGGGGCATGGAGATATTGTTTGAGCATGTAAAACTAAAGGGTAAGGGGCTTCCCTGGTGGCGCAGTGGTTGAGAGTCCGCCTGCCGATGCAGGGGACACTGGTTCGTGCCCCGGTCCTGGAAGATCCCACATGCCGCGGAGCGGCTGGGCCCGTGAGCCATGGCCGCTGGGCCTGCGTGTCCGGAGCCTGTGCTCCACGGCAGGAGAGGCCACAACAGTGAGAGGCCCACGTACCGCAAAAAAAAAAAAAAAACCGAAAGGGTAAGGATTGTATCTTTGCTTAAGATATGATAGGCAGCATTACAGAAGTCACAGTATATTGTTCAAATTTAAAGGAAAGAATATAATTTTTTATTAAACTATATAACTATAACTATAATCAGTATAGTCGATGGTGAGATTTCAAAAGCTATGTTTGATATGTTTTTAATTAAATGCCATCAGAACATATTAGATTGCCAAGTTCATGTGATTTATACATACTAAACTATAATATCTTCTCTTTATCCAATTTACCATAACGTGGCCATAATTTTATTTCTAGGTAGTAGGCCTGTACCGATTATGTGGCTCGGCAGCAGTCAAGAAAGAACTTCGAGAGGCTTTTGAGAGGGATAGCAAAGCTGTTGGTCTGTGTGAAAGCCAATACCCAGATATAAATGTAATAACAGGTAATAAATAGATGTTATTTTTATGTACACATTGTGGAAAGACTACATCTGCACGAAAGAGAATTGAAATACTATTTTGTAGCCTAAATTTAATTTGGTTTTATTCTGCAGTCTTATTTTCCTTCTTTTACAAACACTGCTGTGTTATTTTCTGTGGGGAGATACCAAGATATGGTCCCTGTCCTCAAACAGCCAACAAGTGTTGGGAGGAAGAGACCTACATTAAATTAACTGTAGTAGCTAACAGAAGGAAAAGGGCACCTTTTCTTCATAGAGAGATAAATAAAATGTCATCAGAGTTCAGTTTGACTGGAGCTGACATAATATAAGGGGCATTGACTATCTGGTTAGAGAATTTAGATTTATTTACTAGGCAGAGGGGATCCATCAACGATTTTTGAGCAGGGGAGTGAAATCTTTAGAGATAGTCTTCAGGAATATTTATCTGGCAAGTCTGTGTGATGGACTGAAATTAGAAGATACAAGAGGAAGGAAAACCAGTTAGGAAGCCTTGGCAATAGTCTCAGCAAGGAGGTAATGAGATTGGATGGCATCTGGCAGCAGCAGCAACAGCAGGAAGAAATAGAATTGAAAGTATTTGAAGAAAGGGAGGGCCAGACAATCCTGACTTTGACACCTGGTTGATTGGGTTCCATTAGCAGAAATAAGAAAGCTGAGAGGAAAGCTACTGCTTTCGGTGGAGAAATGTAGAAAAAGATTATGAATTGGGTTTCTTTTTCAAACTTACATATTGAATTTGATGTACTAGTAGGAGATCTCAGTGGATATATCAAGGCTATATCTCCTACAGCTAAGGAGAGGATGTAAGTAGAATGTGAGGGATCTGCTGTTTACCCAGGTGGTGAATGCAATCCAATGTATAGCATTGTAAATACACTTCTAATACCCCGACTGGTGGGGGTAGAAAATGGCAATTTGATGGTCATTGGCACTAGTTGTAATTAACGCCTTGCAGTTATCTATAGAGTTTGAAAAGACAAGAACTTTGAGGATCTCCAAACTTTGGAGGCAGGCAAAGAAAGAAGAAACAGCTAAAGAGATTGAGAGGAAAGGAGTCAGAAAGTATGGGAAACAAGAGACTACAGAGTGTTAAGGAAAGGTGTGATGCACTGTCATTCTGAGAGATCATATAAAATGAGAACAGAAAAAAGGCCTTTGAATTTGGCCATTAGGACATTTTTCATAACTAATGGTTATTCGAGGTCTATTGGCTTATAATTCCATGTTTGTTTTTTGTTGTTGTTTTACTTTTTATTAGCAAAGTTTTCAAGCATATACACAAGTAGAGAGAATACTATGATAAACCTTCTTTATCCATCACCTGGCTTCCATAATCAACACATGACCAAACCTGTCTCATTTATACCCCTCATTTGATTCTCCCCAAACTTGGATTATTTTGAACCATATCTCAGCTATCACATCCTTTCACCTACAGATGCTTTGGTATGTATTTCTAGATCATCTATGTATTTTGATAGTCTTTCTCTTCTCTCTACTGTCAACTACCTTTTTTTTTTTTCTTGCTGTAATAGTGTTTGTTTTTCTCTTCTAATTTGCTTTCTTATTTTACACACAATTAATTGTCTAGGTGAGAATTTGAGGAAGGTTCAACTTGCACATATTCAAGAGATTTTTATTAGTTGAAATCCTTAAAGCTAACTGTTAGGATTGAGGCTTTCCAAATAACTGAGCTTCCCAACCTCTGAACTCTGAATGACTGTATTTCATAGAATATTTAATATTATATTCTTGGATAACTAAAACTTTGATCCCAAGCATTTTAATTCTGAGATGGAGCAAACCAAAGCACTTTTTCTTTCTCTTAAGTTTTAGCAAACCAGAAATAATGGTTACTTTTATTTTATAAAGGAAGAAGGCATATTATTTCTACTAAAAAATGGGTCATTTCTACAAAAAAGTAGACTTTTTCCCTTAATAATGTGTAATAAACAAAATCAGCGAAGGACTCATTTTATGAATTTATTAAAGAAAAATTTTATAAATAGCAATCCTCAGAAAATTACACTCTATAACTAAATAAAAGGAGATTTTGTCTTGGTTGAAGACTTTCTTGGAGATAAAAATTATGTCAAATGTGTATAATTTAAAAAGATGAAGTGATGTGGTTTGAATTGATTATTTGTTATAAGAGAAGGTCCTTAGTTGGAAATTTGCAGCATATGCAGAAGGTATGACAATAGGTCAATGAAACATTTATAGAAGTATTCTTTTCTAAAATTGAGAGTTTACATAATTTATGAATTGGGTATTTCTTGGCTTTATTCTTTGTATATTCCATTTCAGTAAACCTGTTTTTCAGAAGAACCTAGAGCTGTTTTCATTCTTGATAAAAAGCCAATGGGATGACTTAAGGTTTGCCTGAGAAATATCATTGGAATTGCAATAAAATATACACAAGGGCTCATCGTGGCTCAAAGTAAAGGGTATTGTTGATTTGGGGAACTGGCCAGTAATAGTGTTGCCTCATGTGTTTGTTCCACGTGAACTCACATTTCAAGTAAACTTTAAAATATAATTAACTGTTAAGTAGGTCTAAAAGAAGAGATATTAATGGAGTGAATGATAGAGTTTACTCACAGTGTAATGCATTCTTAGTAGTTGGTTTGTCTGGAATACAGAATGAAGTGCTCCAGACAAACCAGATTTTTTTCAGTCAGGTGCAAAATTTAAGGTATAAAATCTATTCATAGTACAAGAGAAGAAATTGGAAAAGTCAACATTATTTATTTAGTGATTATTAGAGTTTTAGGCAGAGAGAACAGGGTGAATTTTGTGATTGAGAATTAATAAAATATAGGTACTTCAAACCAGCCTCTGAGAAGAAGTAGTTTTAGAGATTAGAATGACTTGTTTTGAGTGTGGTGGTACGTGTATCCCACCATGAGGATGAGTAGAATTTCTCTGTGTAGTTGGTCCTGTGCCTGAATGAGGGTGAGAGGCATATGGTTTCATAGTATCTAACTATTACAGGGCAGCTTAAGAGATGTAACTAGAACCAGCTCTTTATTTATCAATAATTGCCTGCTTCAAGTACATGATAAAAGATTTACTGTGTTGCATTAAATAAACTTCATCATAAATTCTCCCCAAGTCTTTTTTAAGTAGCTCCTGTAACATTAAAGATTGTCACTACAAATTTATTATCTTACGGTTTTTATGTCCCAAAGTGTTTGAAAGATGTTAAGAAGGCAATATGGCTTTAAGATGCTCCTGCCTATCACTAAGTTTTTGGGATAAGGCCATATAGCTAATTTCTAGACAGATGAGTAGTCATATCATACATGTTACAACGCACTATGAATACCTTCTCGCTGTTTCATTTTATAAAATCTTTTGATTATTTTTCCTGTGACGTTTGTCTGCTTATAGAAAAGCAACTATAATTTTTACTTCATTGAACATAATGTTCATTGAGCATACTTTAAGTGCTTAATATTTGTTATAAAAATTCTCTCTTATTTGCCCTCAAATTATAGTGAAGCAAGTAATCTTGAACTTGGGTTAATTTAAAATTCCATTTATATTAATAGTTGTTTAGCATATTAATCATATAAAGGATAATGATATTTGAAATACATGTTTCACTAAGGTATAAAGTTATCTTTTCTGGAGATCTTTTAGGTTTTGATTTAATATAATTGCATTACAGGGCAAGTCTCAAGCTACCAGGGCATATTGAGTTTTATAAGAACTAACAAGTCTTGCTTTGTCAAGGAACAACTATGGAACCTTTAAAAAAGATTATGCCCTAAAGGGTTAGTAGTGTCTTTATTTGGCAGCTACAGAAAATTGCATTTTCACTTTCTAATTGTAACTCAATGCTCTTTACACTGAATGTTGCAATTCATTGTAGGAAACTAATGATAGTAGTAAAGATCACATGATATAAGTTAAGGAATGTGAATAAACAATTGTTGCATGTGTACTGTGTACAAAATGCTTTATCATTATCATCACTGTATGTCTAACATGTATTGATTATTATTATATGCCAAGCACTTTATATATGTGTATCTCTTTGTATATGTCGAAGAAAAAGTTTGGGGCTTCCCTGGTGGCGCAGTGGTTGAGAATCCATCTGCCAATGCGGTGGACGTGGGTTCGAGCTCTGGTCCAGGAAGATCCCACATGCCGCAGAGCAGCTGGGCCCGTGCGCTGCAACTGCTGAGCCTGCGCTCTGGGGCCCGCGAGCCACAGCTGTTGAGCCCACGTGCCTAGAGCCCGTGCTCTGCAACAAGAGAAGCCACCGCAGTGAGAAGCCCGTGCACCGCAACGAGGAGTAGCCCCCGCTCGCCGCAACTAGAGAAAGCCTGTGCACAGCGATGAAGACCCAACGCAGCCAAAAATAAATACAATAAAATAAATAAATTAAAAAAAAAAAGTTTGGTCAATATCCTCTTGGCTATTTCCAGGTTATTACCTTTTTACTATTGAGTAGGAACTTATGCTCAATGAAGGAATAAGGCTTTTTGGAGGCTCATGGCACACTCTTGCACCACCTCTGCCTTTCATATTTAACATCACCTACAGAACTCTTGGGCATTCCCATTTATTCAGTGAAGACTTTGATACCTCGCCTATGGTTAGATTTCCAACTGGAGTCTTGCCATCATCCTGAATGATTTTAACATACAAATGACCAATCCAGAACACTCTTCTTATCTAACCTAACTCTTATTGGGTATCAACTGATACCTTAAACTCTTTCTTGAAACATTCTTTCCTTGACTTCCTTGCAGCATATTTGCCTGTCTCACCCCCACCCCCATCCTGCCTCTTCTTACCACTCATACTCCTTTAGCCATTCTTCCTACTGATGTTCTTCATGGCCTTCTCTTATCACTAGGCCTTCTCATATCATGCTGTATGCTGCCCTGATAATCTCAGTCATTCCCAAGTTTCCAGTTATCATCTTTAAGTTGATCATTCTCAGATCTGTGTCTCCAGCCATCTCTTTCCTGAGCCTCAGATTTTTATATCCAGTAGGCTTGAATGTCCCATAGATACCTTAAGCTTAATACATTCAAAAAGAAACTCCTTCCTGTACCCTAAAACATGGTTTTCCTCCTTTTTCTCCTATTTCAAGTAATAGCACTGTTATTCACCTAGACGCTGAAGCCCCAGACCTAGGAAATATCATTACACCTCCTTTTCCCTCAAAATGACAAATGTATTTTTGACCCAGTGGTCCTGTTTTGGGAATTCGTCCTACCAACATACCTGCATACATACAAAGTAATGATGTGCAGGTTATTCATTGTAGCATGTTTTGAAATAACAAAAGATTAGAAAGAACCTAAGCAGCTGTCTATTGTAACTGACTAGATCAAATTATGGGACATCCATACATTGGAATACTGTGATGTGGCTGTAAAAATGTTTGAAGAAAATCTGTGTACTGAAAATATGGCAAGGATGTGATGTTAAATGAAAAAGCAAGAAACAGAACAGGACATATATGCTATCTTTTATGTAATAAAGGGGAACAAATAGTAATATTTATATTTGCATAAGCAAATACTGGAAGGATGCATAAGAAACTAATGAACCATGGTCTATCAAATTTAAAAGATTTATTAGATGGGAAACTTCCTTTATGATCATGTTTAAATTCAAATTAAGCTCTCAAACTAAGTTCTCGGCTAAGCTGAGAGCATTTTCTAAATCAATATTGTCTCTATTAAGGTTTTTGGTGTCAGAAATGTCTTCTATATTTCCTTGTGATCACATTCTAGCCTTTAGCTAGTATCTTACCTACCTTCCTTATATGTAGCAACCGTTAATTACTCTTTCCTGTTTCCTCTACTATAGGTATATCATCTCTTAGTTCATAACTACTTGTGGTGTGTTTGAAATTGACTTAACCTCATTCTTACTATAGTGACAAGTCTGATGTTTTCTGTTCTTGGCTTTTGGTTTCATTTGTTTGGTTTTAGGAATGATTTTTTCCTTCCATAGTATAGCATTAGAGATTATCCAGACTATCCAGTATGTATGTTTGAGCCATATCTTCTGTATTAAAGAGGAAATATATTTATATAGCTCACTTATTTGCAAGGGCTTATGAAAAGCCTAGAAATTAAAAATTCACATAATTGAAATAATTTAAAATTAATATTAGTATGCCTTATTTTCTTTTACATGCACTTAGAGGAGCTTTTTATAAGGGATTTACTTTATGAACAAACCTAATATGTATGATAATTGGCTATTATGTGTGTACATTATTAGCATGGTTTCAAAACAAGTCAATTAGTGAAGCAATTTCTAAGGATACAAATTGCTATTGTTTTGTTATAATACTTCTTTTTACATTGTTGCTTTTATTGTTTTCAGAGTGTTAAAAGTTTGCTGTAACAATTCTTTGAAAAAAAATTCACCACAGTTTTTTATTTCCCTCTAAAGACTAATTGCCATCTGTCTCTGGTTTGTTTTCTGAAGGTGTTCTTAAGGATTATTTAAGAGAACTTCCTTCTCCTCTGATAACAAAGCAGCTTTATGAGGCTGTATTAGATGCAATGGCAAAACATCCTTTGAAAATGTCATCAAATGGTTGTGAGAATGATCCAAGTGATTCTAAGTACACTGTTGACCTGCTGGATTGTCTGCCTGACGTCGAGAAGGTAAGCACAGTTGATATGCATTGAAGGTAAGCACAGTTGATATGCATTGAAGGTAAGCACAGTTGATATGCATTGAAGGTAAGCACAATTGGTATGCATTGAAGGTAAGCACAATTGGTATGCATTGAAGGTAAGCACAATTGGTATGCATTCTTTCTGGAAGCCAGCTAATGAATTGTATACTTAGCTCCAGAGCTACAAATAATTTTTTAGATATTTGACATTCGTAGCACTCATGAGTTTTAGCTCTGCCTTTGCCAAAGCCTACTTAAACAGCATAAATCTAGAAACTGCTTCTTAAACAGAATAAATCTAGAAAATAATTTTATCTTTTCTGTATATGATTTTAGCCTAGGCGTGAATACTCCCTATAAGTTTTAAAAGAGTATTGTTATTATTAAAATGATATATGTTTATTATAGAAAATTTAGGAAGATATAGAAAAGAAGAATGGAAATTATAATCGTCAATATCTAAAGGCAACGATACTTAACATTTTGGTGTAGTTCCTTTTAGTATTTAAAAAATATGGTACCTGATTGGTGTACATGGCTTAGCCTCAAGACTTAAACAACCCTCACCACCACCATTTCCTTCCTCCTTGTCTCTTTCCATTTGCCCCCTCCCCACAATCTGAATCTTGGGACCAGTATCTTCAGGTATGCCTGCAGGAGAGATAGGATGACTGAGTCTGCAGAACTAGTTTTAGCCTAACTTTAGCTCTTGTTCCTTAGAACAAAAGGGAAAATAAGGGAAAGAAATGTGGCCAGGCTTATCCAGATGAGGCTGGCTTTGCCTATGTTTCTTTCTTTTTAAAAATTATTTATTTATTTATTTGGCTGTGTGGGGTCTTTGTTGCGGCGTGTGGGATCTAGTCCCTTGACCAGGGATCGAACCCATGACGCTTGCATGGGGAGCACGGAGTCTCAGCCACTGGACCACTGGGGAAGTCCCTATATTTCTTATCATATGAGAACAGAAAGTCCAAGAGTGAGTGGGTAGAAATGTTTTAAGCCCAATACCTTAATTCACTAGTTGATTGTAGTCATCTGAATGGCCTGTAGTCTGTCTGGTTAGATTAGCAATTACTGCTCCTTTGAGTGGGGAAGGGGAGCAGCTACAAAGGTAGACAGAAGCAGAAGGGTGGGGTGTGGGGTAGAAATATCCCTTCACCAATATAAGGTAAAGTTATACGTGTCATTTTACTTATAAGTGAAGATTTGAGTGTCAGGGAATGTAAATCACTTGCCCAAGAGTATATAGGTTTTTTGAGTGTTGTAGTCTGTCATATGAATCTAGGTCTTTCTGGCCTTAAAGTTCATGCTGTTAATATTCTTTCTAAAAAGGCTGCATAATATTCCATTGAGTAGATCTGACAATTTATCACCATTCTGTTTTGTGTAATATTTAGGGTTTGAACCTATTTGTATATATTTGTCCACAGATTTCTTTTCAGTTAGAATTACTTATTTGGAATAGAATTTCAGAGTGGAATTGCTGATTTAAATAATGTGAACATTTTGAGGCTCTTAATACATTTTTCATATTACTTTTCAAAAGGGACACAACAAGTACATTTTTTGGCTGATCTTATTTCGTAGACAAAAAAAAAAAGATTTCTTATTTTAGGTTGTGTTTCTTGGCTTGCTATTGAGATTGAACCTAATGTATTTAACCAGTTGTGTGTGTTTGTGTGTGTGTGTGTTAACTGTGTTAATCAATGTGTGACTGGTTTTGATTTCAAAATAGCAGTCTAGTCTACCCTAGATCCAATTTTCCCCTCATTCCTTCCCTTCACAACCAAACATTGAGCAAACGTTTATTCTGGCGGTTATCATTTCTTCACCACTCATTTACTATTGTCATCTGGCTTCCTGCTCCACCTCTGTGGACCTGTTCTTGCTAAGGTTACTAATTACCTTCTAATCATCAAATCCAGTTGTCACTTTGACTCCAGAAATGTCATTTTGATTTTTTTCTTTCTTTAATAATTTTTAAAAATTACAAATTATAGTTGGCATTTATTTCTTCAACACAATTATGAAGAAGAAATTACACACTTTATTTGTTAAATGATTGATCATATGCTAGTATATCAAAAAACATCATTCCTTTCCATAACTGCTTAAACCTAAATAACCATGCTAACTTCTTGAACAAACTCCCCTTACTAGTTTTTTCAAGGATTTAAAAAAATATTTTTCAATCAATTTTTTTTTCATTTCTAATTATACTATTCTTCCCTTTTCCATGGTTTGTCTACTTAAAATATTTATTAGCTAAGAAGCGCATTGACCTTTTTCCTAACTGGATCACAATAGAACCTAGCCATGGTTGGCTCCCTAGATTTTAGGATGTTGGTCCCTACTTATGACTACAGGATTTATCTGAACTTAAAAATAAACATTCTCACCCTAATCCCCTTTCCATTG